AATACACATAGATAGGAAAGTGAATACAATGTTATCACCCACCTGCTTTCTGGAAACTTCCGTATGAAGGTGCTGAAATTGCTCTCAGCACTTCCCTGAAATGTATTCTAGTGTTCAGCATGGAGAAGCCAGCGGAGGTTGTGAACTCTGTCAGTAGGCTCTGTGTCTATCTCATTTTCACATCCCTGGCAGCATTTTTCTCAGAACACTGGTCTGTACAAACATATATATGGTGTTGGGTTCAATGGCTGAAGGCAAATTGTTATAAGTTAAAGGGCAGCAGGGAGGATTCTGGGTACACAAAGCAATAGAATGCTTAATGTCTGTTTGGTGTGAGCTGCTGTAGGGGAGGAAGGAAGGCTCTGTTTCGGGTGTATGTCTTAGTTTTGCTTCTAATGCTGTAATAAAAACACCTGGACAAGGGCTGAGGCTATGGCTCAGTGGCCAAAAGCATATACTTTTCTTGCAAAGAACCTGAGGTTAGTTCCAGAACTCATGCTAAATGCCTCACAACCAACTAACTCTTGGCTCCAGGTGATCTGATACCATCTTCTGCCTCTGCACATAGACACAGAGACACATAAATAAAAAGTGAAGGCTTTTTTTTTCTTCAAAATACCCTAATAAAATGTAATCTAAAAAAGTATATTGACTTATAATTCTAGGTACGTTCCATCATAGTGAGAAGCCAAAGCCACAAATTATGTTGCAACAGCAGTCAGAAAGAAGAAAGCAATGAATGCCTGTGCTCAGGCTCTTCTTCACCATTCCTTGACTAGGGAATGAACCTGCCCACAGTCAACATCACCAATCAGGATGATCTCCGGCAGAAACTTCTCAGAGGCTAACATTAATCTATACCAGTGGTCCTGAGCCTTCCTAATGTTTCGACCCTTTAATACAGTTCTTCATATTGTGGTGACCCCCAGCCATAAACTTATTTCTGTTGCTGCTTCATAACTGTAACTTTGCTACTGTTATGAGTCATAAAGTAAACATCTTATATATAGGATATCTGATATGTAACCCCTGTAAAAGGGTCACATCCCACAAGTTGAGGACTGCTGATCTAGATGATACTTCTTAGCCGTGTCAGGAGGCTTGTCTCCCACGTCATTCTGGATCCCATGAAGATGGCAATTAATATCCTGAGGAATGTCCCAATGATATTTTCAGGATTATATGTCTCAGAATGAAAAGGCTGTATTAGGGATACATGGTTAAAAGTAGAAATAGAGATGGCCTGTTATGAAAAGGAACCCAGGCCAGAGAGCTGCAGCTTAGTACCATGCCTGAAAACTTAAGTTCAGTCTCTGAAACCCATATGGTAGAAGGAGAAAACCAGCACACACAAGTTGGTCTCTGACCTCCACATGCACTGTGTATGTGAATGCACATACACACATACATGCAATGAATAAATTTTAAGTGAATGTACTCTCAAGTATGAATGTGGGGGGAAGTGGAGGAAAGGTATCCATTTAAAGGTATCCATGCTGGGCTGAGAGGCTCGAGACTCATTTATACCAAAGCTGGCTCTCCCATGGGCATTTCTCAAAAACACTCTCTTCTGTGGAGCCCAACTTCAGCTCTTCTAGTCTCTGCCAATTGCTTCTTTTATATGTTGATCTTAACATCTTCTTATATCTTGTTTACTTTGCATATGTGTGCATGTCCCATAGTGCATGTGGAGGTCAGAGGTCAACTTGGCAGAGTCAGTTTTTTTTTCCCTGCACCTGCGGGCCCCAGGGAATGAACTCTTGTGTGCAAGTGCCTTCCCTGAGGCGTCGCCATCTTGCCAGCCCTTTACATGTTAACAGTCTTGACGCTGCTGTCCCCAGCATCCAGCGCAGCACAAGGAAGGAACAGAGCTGAAGCAGGAACAAGACTTTAGGTGGGAGAGAAGGAGGGAATGGAAGGGATAAAGGGATTTAATGGGAAGATAGAGCAAAGTAGATTTAAATACGCATAAAGATTACATGGGATTTTTTTTCAAACATGGGAGCGTGTTCATGTATGACAATAGCATGCTATTCCACTGGGTGGTAAAGCCATAATGAATTTTAAGCTGGTGATAAGTTCAGACCTCTATGATGCTCCTCCCTCTAATACAGTTTGTCTTTTAAATACAGAAACAGCAACAATCCAAAAAAAAAAAAAAAAAAAAAGGAAGAAAGAAAGAAAAAAAAAAAAAACCCTTCAACCCCCTCCCTCTGCTCAATGAATCAGGCTGCTTTCAATAATGCGTTTCTTTCCTCCTTGGAATCACACGCCACTTACCAAGGTTCATTTTAATTCCTCAGCCTGTGCAGCCTGCGCTAAGAGAAATGGCTTGCATCGACCCAGCTGGCAGCAGAATCTAGATGTTTAGGGGTCCTCGCCACTGCGGTGCTTAAATTGAGATATGTCTTGAGATCTGCATCCGTAAATCCTGTTTCTGAGGAACTATAATAAATAAAGCCAAAGACTGAAATTGAATTTTTGTAAAAGGAATTTAGGAGGAAAGCCATGAAGCATCCATCCAATTGCGGAAGAGACGATGCATTTAAGCAGCTCATCCTCCCAGCCTGGCACAAAATACTGGGGAAAGATACCAGGGACTTGGGGGTGGGGAATGTGCCCGTCTGGGAGGGCAAGTATTACCGAGACGGCCCAAAGAAGAATGGGAGGAACAAATTAAAATATATCCTTAGCCAGATATCTGGCTGGGTTTATTTATTCATTTATTTTAGTCATATTTTAACCAAAAAAAAAAAAAAAAAAAGGTGACCAAATGGGATTCTGTGTATGTGAGTTCTACATGGAGAGATCCATCAATATTATTTCTATTGTTGTGATTAGTTTTTCATTGTTTGTTTGTTTTGCCCAGCACTGGACAGAACCCAGGATCTCATGTATGCTATAGAAGTGCTTTACCACTGAGCCACACCTCAGCACTGAGAGACTGTATGCCGGTGGTCTGCTACTGAACTACATCCCAGCCCTCTTCTTGTTCTTTGTTTTGAGACACTTTCACTAAGTTGCCCAAGCAGGACATGAACTTGCTGTGAGCCCTCTCCCTCCATCTCCCAAGTACCAAATATAACTAAACTGTGCCACCAGCCACAGCTCATTGTGGCCAAAGCAACTTGGAAATGAATTTAAAAAGGCTTTAGGGTGACCTAATCAGGGTCACAGGAGACATTTGGAAGAGCCATTGCTAAGACTGCAGAAATGGACACCTTTAAAGGAAGTTAGGAGAAAGGCCCCGGTGTGGGACTTCCAAGTTCTTTGGAACCTGACACACTACCAACCTGAGAGACCATCTTTAGGGAAGGTGTGGAAATGAGGATCCCAGCGAGGGGTGACCCTCGCTGCCCTCAAAGTCTCAGAACATCGCTGTCAAGACAGTGGCTTCCTGTGTGTCACTCAGGCTCCACGTGTGGTGCAATGCTCACCTAGCATGCACAGGGCCCCTATAAAAAGTAGGGTGCATGTCACAACCCAAGATTCTTCAGGAATGGGCCAGGATGTTCCAGGATGCAGGCCTCTCCGCAACAACTCACCTTTCCCTAGGAGTTGAGCTTAACACTCTTTTTTAAACTTTATTTTATTTTATTGGTGTGTGTGTGTGTGTGTGTGTGTGTGTGTGTGTGTGTGTGCGTGTGCTTGTGTTTATATTCGTGTGTGTGCATGTGGGTGAGGAGGCCAGGAGACAACCGTCAGTGTCATTCCTCAGATGTTGTTTACCAGTGAGAGTCTCACTGGCCTGGAGATCACCAAGAAGTCTAGGCTGGCAGGCCAGTAAACACCAGGAATTCTTTTGTCTCCACCTCCCCAAAGCTATGATTGCAAGCACGAGCTACCAGGCCTGAAAACCTTCTAGGGTTGAACCCAGATATTCATACTTGTACAAGTGTTTTACCAACTCAACAACCTACCCCAGCCCAAGCTTATTAACTTTATTAAAAGGCATATTTTTCGCTGTTTTTGTTTATGTGTATGTGTGAATGAATACCCTGTATGTGCAGGTGCCCGTAGAGGCCAGAAAAGACACACATACACACACGAAAATAAAAGAAGGAAAACTGTATAGATTATTTCAGAGGAACCACAGCCAAGTCCTGCCAAAGGCCTCAGCTAATAATAAAAAAGCGAATAGCCTAATTAGAAACTGGACAAGCCAGACACAGTGAGATGTACTAGTTACTTTTTCATAACTGCGACCAAATACCTTATTTTGACTTAAAATAAGTTCAAGGGCACAGTCCATCATGGTGGGGAAGGCACGGCAGCAGAAGCCTGAGGCAGCTGGTCACACGGCACCCACAGTCAGGAAGCAGAGAGAATGCTGGTGCTCAGATTGCTTTCTCCTTTTTAATCAGTCCAGGACTCCAACCTGTGCAGTGGTGCCACCTACATGCAGGGCAAGTCTTCCTTCCTAGGTTAATTCTAGGTTAATCCAACCTAGAATCTCCCTTATAGACATGCCCAAAGACTTGTCGCCTAGATGATTCTAGATCCATTTAAACATATTAACTGTCCTAGTTAGCTTTGACTGTCAACTTGATGCAGTTTAGAGGCAGGTTGAGTACTTACCCATATGAGATGAGCATGCTTTGGTGGAAGGTTATCTTGATGGTCAGTTAATGTGGGAGGATTCTGCCCACTGTGGGTGGTACCATTCCCTATGCAGGCTGTCTTGGGTTATATTAAAAAGCTATCTAAGCATGACCCTATGAGTGTACCGGTAAGCAGTATTCCTCCATGTTTCCTGCCTTCAAGTTCTTGATAGAGTTCCTGTCCTGACTTCTCTCAGTGAAGCTCTGTGACCTGGAAGTGTAATCCAGGTGCATCCTTTATTTCCTTAAGTTGCTTTTGGTCAGAGTATTTTATCACAGCAACAGAAAGGAAAGTAGGACCCATGCTAAATAGGTTCAACCACTTCTCTGGAGATTGTGGGAAGGGTGATGGCCTCTGGGATGTCCTCTGTCATACTGATGAAGTCTCTGTGCCTCCAGGTGTGGCTCTGTGGTGGCAGCATGGAGGTCCTTCCCTGCTCAAGGGTGGCCCACATCGAGCGGAAGAAAAAGCCGTATAACAGCAACATCGGCTTCTACACCAAGAGGAATGCGCTCCGGGTAGCGGAGGTCTGGATGGATGACTACAAGTCGCACGTGTACATAGCGTGGAATCTGCCTCTGGAGGTAGGAACAGGCAGCTACCATACTAGAACAATAAGCTTGACTCTCTGGCATGCCACAGAAACTTTTAATAAGCCAATAGTTCTTCCCTTTCCAAGGCTCACAGACACCTGCGTGTTGGGTCCTCTTAACACTGAAAGGCATCGATCCACTTACAGAGATCACAGGCCTTGTGTGTTAATCCAAATCTTCTTATATACCTCTCTATTCTGAGCATGCACTGTGTCCAGAAGGTTTTTGCCCAGGTTTGGGCAACACAACCATCTTCTGCTCTTGCTGTGTGGCCTCCTGTGGAGCCCCAGCTGCTGGTGACAAACCCTTATTGACGGTTGTGATGTTTGTTTCCTTCCCTCCCTCATACATGCAGCTTGAGGCTCCAGGAAAATCTCTGGTTACCACAGGCTCCTAGCAGGAACCCCGTGCCTGTGCCCAACTTGGTGTGAATCCCACCTCTGTCTCTTGGTATTGATGAAATCATCACCGAACACCTCTCTGAACTTTCAGATATTGAGCAGTAAAATGAGAGGTGATGGCACTTTCTCTTTTCTCTGTGTTTCACAGAGTGCAGCAGAACAGCAGAGATAGAGTTCAATGTGTGCACAGCTTGAGTGGGTGAAAAATAAAAGTGTAGAGATTGTGTCATTGTTGTTACAGCTTTTCCTCCTCCACTACCCAGGGTCCAACCTAGGTGCTTGTTCAGCCCCTCACTGGGGGATTCTAGGCAGGTGCTCTACCACTGAGCCACACCCCAGCCTCTCACTGGGGGATTCTAGGCAGGTGTTCTACTGCTGAGCCCCTAGTCCTGGGGGTTTCTCGAGACATGCTCTACTACTGAGTCATACCTCCAACCATTTTTTTTCTTTTCATTTTTCGACTCACTAAATTTCCCAGGCTAGCTTTGGATTCATTCTGCAGGTCAGGCTAACAAAGAAATTCTGACTTTCCTACCTGAGTCTCATAAAAAACTAAAATCATACAACTGTGACACCAGGCTTGCCTCATTACAATTTTTGAAATATATCCTAAAGAGTTGCTTCTCCCTCCTCTAGCACTGTGCTGTGATTGGACACAGCATTTGTTTACAGATCTTAATTTGTACTCATTTATGTAGTTTATGGGGGGGTGATGTGATGGTGTGCGCCTATGGAAGTCAGACAACCACTTGTGCAAGTTGGTCCTCAGTTCCTGAGGATGTGCCATGGGTCATCAAGCTTGGCTTCAAGCCCTTTTCCCTATTAAGCCATCTTGCCATGCCAGGAAAATGGGGTGATATGTAAGGTTGGGTAACCTTAGATGAGCACTTAGCATATCCCAGATACTTTATACATTTCTTATTTACAGCAGTTCATGTAATCTCATGACAAAAGAATGAGCAGTCTGTTTAGATTTCCTCATCCGTAGAACAGTAATTGTTCATACTTACCCCACAGTGCCCCAGTGATGAAAACTGAGAATAGAGCTTATCCCACATTAAATACTCAATAAATGCTGGCTGGTTACAGGCCTACTATGATGCCCGTTTTACAGATGAGAAAACAGGTACTTGGGAAGTTAATGGGACATCCCTAAGGCCTTACATAAAACTCAGGAGTAAGAATGTGAACTCAGGGTTGGAGAGATGTCTTGAAGGTGAAGAGTGCTTGCTGCTCTTGCAGAGGACCAGAGTCCAGTTCCCAACACCCATTTCAGGCAGCTCATAACCACCTGTAATCGCAGCTCTAAAGGATTTGATGCCCTCTTATAGCTACCATGGGCAATGTGCTCATGTGCACATTCTCTCACACACACGCACACACACATAAACACACACACATACACACACACGAAGTAAATTTTCTTAAATAAAGAATATGTAGTCAAATTGTCAGGCCAGGAGTGTGAACTCATAACCCTGGTAAGCCAGTGTTATGGTTTATTCATGTTTTGTAGAGAAGGATCTTGGATGACAGTTTTATCTGTTGTATTAGTTACTATTCCTATTCTGGGATAAAACACCCAACAGAAGCAATTTATGGGAATAATGGTTTATTGTGGGTCACAGTTTGAGGGTGCCCAGTTTACTGTAATAGGGAAGGCACGGCAACCAGAACATGAGGCAGCTGGTCACATGGCCTCCACAGTGAGGAAGCAGAGAGATGGACGCTGGTGCTCAGCTCATTCCCCTTTTTATTCAGTCCAGGACCCCAGACCATGAGGTGGTGCATTCAGGGTGGGACTCTTTTCCTCAATGAATCCAGTCTAGAAACTCCCTCACAAACATGCCCAGAAGTGAGATTCTGGATCATATCAACTTGACAATCAACACTAGCTATCACACTTTAAGTCAAAAGAACTATGTCTTAAGCACTCTTGGCCAGTACAGACTCCATTACAATCCCTACTTGGCCATGGGGTTACTGTGAAGGAAGTTTAAGAAAGGCTAGAAATCACACAGGACCTGAGCATCTTAAAGAACACCTCATGATAAACATGCTCAAAAAGTACAGATTTGGGAGATTTATAGATTTCTGCTTTTCAGATGAAGGATGTTCAACCAATAAAGGTTATACGAATATGCAGAAAAACTCCTAAATCTGTGTGTGTGTGTGTGTGTGTGTGTGTGTGTGTGTGTGTGTGTGTGT